TTTCAAGGCGTATATTATTTTATGATTCTTTATTTTTGGTTAATGGTACATATTAATGGCACTATGCTTTAAGGCATAAAAACAAGCCATCAGTCAAAAGAATTTTAAAACAAATGCCAATGTGTTATTTTGGTGATTTCTTGAACTTTTCTTCTTGTTTCCTTTACCGATTCACTGTCAGATAGATCCTGTGTGTGTTTATTGCTTTTCTTTTACTTCATGCTAGATAAGTAAAAAAAAAAAATGTCCTGTAGTCATCTACAGGATGATTTTGGGTTTGGCTCTTAGAGTTTTGTTGTTGGAGTGAGCGTGGCTGTTGAGAGGTCTGTGTCATTTTGCTCCGGTCCCCCAGTGCTGGGGTGGGCAATCATTCTTTCTGGGGAGTTGGACCCAGGTGTCCGGTGCGTGGGAATCAGTATTTTAGTCCTCTGAGTCATCCCTCCTTCCCTGTGAGAGCTTGAAATTTTTCTCTACACAGACCTTTGATATTGAAAATACTGCTGATGTGGGGCTGGAGTGATAGCACAGCAGGTAGGGCGTTTGCCTTGCATGCGGCCGACCTGGGTTCGATTCCCAGCATCCCATATGGTCCCCTGAGTGCTGCCAGGAGTAATTCCTGAGCGCAAAGCCAGGAGTAACCCCTGAGCATTGCTAGGTGTGACCCCAAAAGCAAAAACAAAAACAAAAACTACTGATGAAAAGCAAACACTAAACTATTTCACAGGAATTTTCTATCAAACCCATACCCTGGTAGTGTAGTGATAGCATTGATTATTTTTCCTTATTGGCAGAAAATTATGCTTACTTAAAATATGGTTGCCTAAATATGTGTTGACTCAGTAGAAAATGTTTTTTGCTAGAAATTTTTGAACTTTTTAAGGATGACTGTGATATTTTCCCCATTCTCCTAATCAGTTTCCTTTTTATGTTGTGCTCTTGGAAGGACGGAACATAATTATGAAGAGATGTTTTATATACTAATTTTTATGTTAACAGTCATAGATGACAACTAGCTGAGGGGCAATATAGTAGACACTAGTAACTGGATAAAGTTAATTTCATTTTGAAACACAACACTGCATGCATACTGATGATAAAAATATAATCATAGATTCTTTGATTTTTTTTCTCTGATTTTCCCAGTTGTCAGCTCTATAAATGTGTCTGAAGCACTATGAAGCTTTCTTCCATAAGAGTTTCTATTTTTTTTTTTTTTGGTTCACTTAAGTCTTGCTTTATTTAGCTTTCGAAATGCAACATTATTTTTGGATTTGAATGGGTTTAGGTCTGCTGAGATTTTCAAGCATTTCAGATGAAAAAGAATAAAATGAATTTATGAAATTGATGAAGTTTGAAAAAAATTTCACCTGTCTCCTCTCTTATCTGTCTGTTCAATCCTTGTTAACATCCCTGCAAACTCTACTTACACACGCACACAACCTTTTTTCCCCTTTTTAAAAGAATGTTACTATGCTTTAAGGCATAAGTTAAAGGACTATTTTGGAGTCAGCAATACCAGGTCAGGACCGAGACTAAGGTGAAGATAGTACTGCATGTAGCATGAAGTTGTCAGAAGGATGGTGTTGTAGTGACTATCCATTGTCAGATAGTCAGCATGAAGAAGTCAGAAAGGATACTTGCCGCTTTTCTATGGAGGGGCAAAGCACATACTCAGCTAATTAATTAACTGTTGGTATCAAATATCTGATTTTTTAAAAAAATTTATTTATTTATTGAATCACTGTGGGAAAAGTTACAAAGCTTTCAGGTTTAGGTCTCGGTCATGCAAATATCAAACACATTTCCCTTTAACAATACATATTTTTCACCACGAAGAACCCCAATAAGCCCCCATGCCCCCAACCCTCCCAATGCCTGTGAGGCAGATGAATTCTATTTAACACTCTATCTACTTTGACTAGATTCATTGTTTCGATGAAAGATGCACCATTATTATTTAGAGTTTACACCCCCAAATCAGACATGCTGAAAAGGCATTGTGAAATGATTTGTTTTTTAGAGCTGGGTTCAAGAATTCAGTGATGTCGAGGCCGCACGGTTTTGGATTTCTGCTATTTTACTTATGAACCCTGGAAGTATTTCTGCTGAGAGTCAGATAATTAAGAGATTGGTTTCTTTCTTTCCAGAGGGAAGAAGGTGGAAGGGACCAACACCCTTTCCCCTCCGGGCAGACGTGTTGGTGTGGATTAACACATAGTCCTTCACTTTTCTGCTCCAAGCTGCTGGGTTCTGCATTAAGTCCTTGGGCTTCTGGAGCCATGGCCATGCCGGAGAGCAGCTCATGGGGGGCAACTGGTGACCTCGGTAGGGCGTGAAGGACGAGCTGGGAACGCCCCCCTTCCCATGAGGTTTTCGACGCCCCATCACGGCCAGCTCATACCTGGCTTTCCACAAAGCTCCCAATGCTGTAGCTTTTTAAAAAATTTTTCTTTTTTTTTTTTTTTTTTTGCTTTTTGGGTCACACCCGGCGATGCTCAGGGGTTACTCCTGGCCCTGCACTCAGGAATTACCTCTGGCGGTGCTCAGGGGACCCTATGGGATGCTGGGAATCGAACCCAGGTTGGCCGCGTGCAAGGCAAGCGCCCTACCTGCTATGTTATCGCTCCAGCCCCCTGCTGTAGCTTTTTGTGTGTTGGTGTGTTATGGGCGGGCAGTCGGCAATGCTCAGGGCACCACATGGGGGTGCTGGGGATCGAACCTGGACAGGCTGCGTGCAAGACAAACATCCTCCCTGCTGTCCTACCGTTATGGCACGGGGTCTTTCTTCAGCGTCCCCCAAACGCTCAGGTTAGGCTCAGCAAATGACACTCACTCCGCATAAAGGTCGGTAAAGCTCTGGGCCAACGAGGGGTGCCCAGGCGGCTGGGTCAGCCTGGACGCAGCGACTTGTGCGTGGAGGTGATGGCCGGGCACAGACTCGCTCTCAGCAGATATCTGATGTTTCAAAAAGAAATTTTATTGTGGGGGCGGGGCTGGGCTACACCCAAAAGGGGTTGGGGGCTACTCCTGGCTCTGTGCTCAGGGGTCACTTCTGGAGGTGCTCTGGGGACCCTGTCTACCCAGAATTGAACTGGCATTGGCTGCATGCAAGGCAAGCACCTTAACCCCCTTGTACGGTCTTTCTGGCCCCGGTTTTTCTTTTTCCTTTTTTTGTGGGTAGGCCCACTTCTGGTGATACTCTGGGGTACTCTGATTCTGCACTGTGGATTCACTCCTGGTGGTGCTCAGAGGACTCTATGGGGCGCTAGGGATCGAATCTGGATTGGTCACATTTAAGGCAAGTGCCCTAAGCACTGTGCTCTCTCCTTTCCCCCCCTGATTTACAGGAAAGAATTTTTCCCCCTCTGAGGCTCTATTGGATACAACATCTTGTATTCTTCATTACTTGTTAATTCTTTCTGTTTGGGAGGCCTACCTGGTGGGACTTAGCGGCAGCTCCTGGCTGGGTGCTTGGGCAGTGCTGCTGGCAGTTGTCAGGGGACTGTGGATTGACTGAGATGAAACGCCTGGTGTTTCACTCTCCCTCCTCTTCAGCTCCCCATCCTGCTTGCTGATTCTTCAAATGACCTGTGCCTGTTTGGAAAAGGGGTGACGGGTCATACAATTCGGGACCACCTTCTCCTTCTCCTGATGGTTTCTTTCTGAAAGAAAGAAAGAAAGAAAGAAAGAAAGAAAGAAAGAAAGAAAGTTCTAAACTCAGGTAGAGGAGGTCTGATCAAACCTGTTAGACCTTTAGCCTCTTGTTCTCTGGCAAGAACAGGCCTCCTGAGAAGGTATTTTCTATTAATGGGCTTTGTCTAGAAATAATTTGCTATTCTGAAATGATGAATAATTTTGTTTGTTGTGGCTTCTGCCTCTCTCAGTGACACGCCTGTTACTTTGGTTTTTTTTTAATTTATTTTTTATTTTTTAAAATTTTATGTAGGAGTACTGCTATTTATTCAGCCACTGATTAGCTGATTGAATTGGGCATGAACTCCACCTTGCTTTTTTTTTCATAATTTTATTTATATATTTTTTCTTCATATATTTATTTATTGAATCACTGTGGGAAAAGTTACAAAGCTTTCAGGTTTATGTCTCGCTCATACAATGATCAAACACCTTTCTCTTCACCAGTACTGTTCTCACCTGGAGTAGCCCAGTGCCAGTAACCTACTGCAGGAACAGGACACATTTCTGCCAAAATCCGTTGGGTTTTGAGATTCGTTTCTGAGTCTCTGGGATCATGACCTTTAAGCAGTTTGATCAGGAACCAGAGAGGCCTTGCCTCCAATTATATAGCTGAGCCGGAGGTGGTTTGTGGGTGTGTCTCCCACATACCTAACTTTTGGCCGTTTACTTTCTTGGTAAACTTTGCCCCAAGTTTTTGGGGTCTGGCCAAAGGCACAGCAGCAATTTTGGGGTATCTGAAAGTCTGACGGTGCTATCAGGTTGCTGATGTACTCACCTCACAGGTACAGATTGACTTGCTGGCGGCACCATACCCCCAGCCTAGACGTTTCTTGGCCTGGATGAATGTTTAAGAATTGATGAACTTGCCCAAAACTGGCCTCTTCTGCCAAATGGAGAAGGATCTTTCTGTGTTCTTTGGGTTGACAGAGTTTTGCTTCTGTAAACTGCCATTATTTTAGTTTTGAATTTCTTTTCAAAATTGCTTTAAAAAGAAGGGTCATACGCAGTAAAGGGAGGTCCACTGGAATAACAGTCAGACTTGCTTTTATGCTTGCTGCTTAGTTCCTGTTACGTAGTTCTTGAAGTGTTTGATGAATTGAAAATCAAATTCTAGGGGCCCAGAAAATGACTCAGTGGCTTAAGATACTTGCTTAAGCATGAAACCTGGAGTGTTAACCGGCATGCTACTTCTTGTGCAGGAGGGGAGGAAAATCTAATTAAAATGGGTCCCCCCTCTATAAATGAGAACTGTATTTTAATTAGCAAATTTTTCTGTTTTCTTAACTTTTTTTTTTTTTTAACAGCAAGCCAGGGCAGAACAGGAAGAAGAATTCATCAGTAATACTCTATTCAAGAAAATTCAGGCGTTGCAGAAGGAGAAAGAAACCCTTGCTGTAAATTATGAGAAGGAAGAAGAGTTCCTTACTAATGAGCTGTCCAGAAAGTTGATGCAGGTAAATTATCTTTTCTACCCTCTATCTTTTCTGTTTATTTGTCTCTGTAGGAAAAAAAAATAACTGTGGTATATAGAGTGTTTTGCTTGAAATATTTCTTGATGAGCTTGTAATAAACTTCTTTGGGAATTAAAAATATCAGATAAAGACGGTTGCTTGTGTTACTCAAGTTAGGTTTTGTAGCTCATCTGCTCTAGTAAGATATTTAATGTCTTGTGCATTTTAAAAAATGCTAAAGGATGCCAGGAATTTAGCAGAGGAGTAAATGCTGTAGATAGTGTTTTGGAAAGTTGAAGAGTTATTCCAAGTGTGACTTTTTTTTTTCATGTTGAATTTGTAATGATTACATAAAATTTTAGGGTAGCCAGAAATATGTCTTTTGCACTAAAACATAAGAATATAAAACGAAGCATCAGTTTTTTGGAAAAAATGGCTATCTGTGGTACTTAAAATTACATACAGTCAACTATGTTCAAACGGAATAATATGAATAAATACAAGACTTTGTTATCTATATTTAATATTAATTACTAATAGCAGATAGAGCTCAGCTCAAAACTTGCAACAAATACAAAAGTAAGATTTCTTTAGGGGAATCAGTTGAGCGATTAAGAAGCAGGATATTGAATTTTCATTATTAAATAAAGCTCTTTCAGAATAGGAGCAGGTGTAAAATCATACTGAGAACATTGTTACATTTGTTCTTAAATGACCATGGAAGGTTGAAATAGCCCCTCATATTTTCTATTCTCTGACATCTGTTTGAAGTTATGTACTTTAGTGAGGTTAATAGAATACTAAAACTTTTTAAGTCTCCCTAAATTCCTTTTTTTCCTTCCAACTAAACAGTTGATTAAGTACATATTTTTTATATATTGGATATGGTATTATTATTAATATTATTTTGGTGGACATGGTTATGGACCATACCTGAAGGCATGTAGGACTCACCCCTGACTTGTTTCAGGGATGACTCCTAGAGGATTGAATCTGGGTTGGCCTTATGCAAGGCTTACTACTCCCTGTACTATCTGGCCCCTTATTCCATGTTCTTATTTTTAAAGTGAGCTAGAGAAAAGAAAATGTTACTGTGAAAATCACGAGATGATACATATTCTATATTTATAATACTATGAATTCTTTATGAGAAAATCCACAAATAAGTAGACTGGTACAGTTCATATCTTTGTTGTTCAAGGGCCAACTGTGGATCATAGGCTTTGGAAAAACAGAAGTATCCAGATTTTATTATAAAGCAAGAGATTTAGGGCAGAATTTCTGCACTGAAACATTTTGAGAACTAACTTAGAGAAAAATATGAAGGAGAAAAGTCATTTTTCTTTTGACTCTGTGGCAATATTAGCTGATTTATTCTGCATGTTGCTTCTCGAAATAGAGGGATACAATTATAATATGTGTGTGTGTGTTTTAAGTGTGTAATCAAGTGACTTTTGGGGAGGCCACCTAGCTGTGCTTAAGGCTTACTTCTGGCTCTGTACTCAGGATCATCCTGGCAGGGCTGGGGACCATAGAGAGGGCTGGGGAGCAAATCTGGCTCAACCGTGTATAAGGAAAACACCCTATCTGCCGTAGTATAGCTCCAGCCCCATTTTTTTTTTTTTTAAAGAACTTTTGGGCCACAGTGGTGCTCAGGAGCTGCTCCCAGCTCTTTGCTGGGGGAAGGTTGTGGCTGGTGGTGTTCAGGTTATCATGCGATGCCAGGGATTGGCCCTAGGTCTCTTACATGCATACAGGCATAATGTGTCTTAAGTCCATTGAGCTATCTCTCTGACCTTACTGCCCTAGTTTTACAGAGTAAGATACCTTTTTTTTTCTGATGACTTGGTGGTCAGTGTATAGAGTCTGAGATCTTTAGTCGAAGTTTGTTATAAAGCAACCAAAACCTAATCAGGCTATCCTCCTTTTCTCTGTAGACTACCTTTACTATGAATGTTCTGCAGTGCATAGTTATTAATCAGCTTTTCATTTTCTGTCGTACCTTACCTATTCTCCAAAGACATTGCTGTCTCATAAAATAAGTATGAAAACATCGGAGCCATGTGCTACTGAAAAGGAAGCTAGTTATAGTACACTTGACATAAGAACATTTGGAAATTTTAATTTCTGAGCATCCTATAAATAAATGAAAAACCTGGAGAAATAATTGCTATATTTGGTAATTCTTGTATTTAAAAACACAGTTTTTGCTTGCCCAGAAGAAAACATTTTTCACATGTTAAAAATATCCTTTTTTTTTATTGGAAAGTAGATTTTGGGGGGGTCACAACACCCAGCGATGCTCAGGGGTTACTTCTGGCTCTGCACTCAGGAATCACTCCTGGTGGTGCTCAGGTGGGATGCGGGAATCGAACCTGGGTTGGCCTTGTACAAGGCAAATGCCCTACCCTCTGTGCTATCACTCTAGCCCCTAGGAAGTAGATTTTATTAAAGAAACTCAATTGTGTATAAAATGAACAAAGCAGTTCTTACCCAAGGTAAGAAAATCATGTGTATAATGTATATCACTTGTCTTCGTATGACTGAATCTCATGATTGCCTGCACACAGAGCAGGAAATTGTATGGAGAAATAAATATGAAGAAATTGTTTGGGGAGTTCTAGATGTTTCTGAACTTGTTAGTGGTTTTAAAGACTCAGGACAGAGAGGTGGTTAGCCTATACCCAAGAAACTATCTTATTCCTATGAATTAGGATATGCTTAGAATTTTGTGATTTTGGGGTGTGGTAAATTGTATATAATACCGAATTTTTCATTTCTAAATGCATAATTCATCTCCAGAACTCTTTAAGCTGAAGCTCTATAGCCAGGAAGCAGTAGTTTCCCATTTCTTTCTCCTTCTTCCTTCAGATTTGTTTTGGGGGCAGGGGGAGATCAGGAGGTGGGGCCATTTCCAGGCATTACTTCCTTGGCCCAGGAGCCATTCCTGGAGGTGCTTAACTGTGTAAACTCACACAAGAGGGAGCACGGCACACAGCGGCGATGGCTCTATCTCTCCCGCCGCCCGCGTTCGGTAGTCTCACCCTTCTCCCACCCTGGGGAGGTCGATGGCGATGGCGATGGTCAGGCGGAGGAAGGAACGAAGGCCAGGCTGGTTGGTATTAGTAGCAGTTTATTCTGATCCTCTCTTCATCTCTGTCTCTGCTCCCTATGCCCCATCTACAGTCTCATTATATCTCTCTCCAAGAGGAATTGGAGGAACAATTACACATAGGTGCGGTCACAATCAATAGGGGTAGCCTCAGGAAAAGCCGCTCCTAGGACAGATCCTTTCTCAGCAGGAGGACCCACCCTAGAGCGGAATCCCAAGGGTGTGTCTCTCCTCTCCTTGTCTGACAAGCATAGAATATATAATATAAACCATTTTGTATGGATACAGTAAGAAATATCTTAAACTTATAGAATTGCTCTCCTAGGGCCATCTCGATCTCAGACTACAGTGCTCAGGCCAGATAGTCTTTCCCACCCCTAGCAGGATCCTAGTCTCATCGTTACCTTTGGATCATGATAGCATTTGTCTATGATCAAACTCTTAACTTATAGTTAAGAATCATGGCACTTTGGCCTGGCCCATTTCGATGCCAGGGTAGCTCACCGCTTGCCCTGGGTCCATTCAGTCTCTCGGCGGGACCCTGCTTTTGGGGTGTTAGGAACTAAGGGCAACTGAGGCTTAAGTCGAGAAAGCAGATGCCTGGGAGTGAATAATATTCAAAGCCAATCAAATCCTAAGTTACAAAGCATAATGTTAATGGTCTTCCTGTATCTATACAAAAATATATTGCTTTAAAGTAAACTGTTCATAAGGCATAAGGAGAGGAGAAAGGCAATATTTCACTTATACATATAAAATCATAGATTTCTGGGAAACTGACCTTACAAATTAACAGTCTGGTTAAGGGGAAAGCTGATTAACTGGGTGGGGAGGAGAGCATAGGGAAGACTGTTTACAGATAAACACAATGGAGTGCAGTGATGGGTGTAACCAGATAAACCTAAGCTTCTTGTACTCCAACACTTAACTGGGGCTGTTTGGGCCTGAAGTTTGGGTACAGGTGCTGTGGTGCTGCTTAAGGCATGGGGGGCCACCAGGCTCATGCCTCGGGGTAGGGGTCTAGGTGGCATGTGCTGCTGGGGATAAGACTGGAGGTCAGGAGCTTGCAAGGCTTTGTAGCCATCTCCCCAGCCCTTGGTTTTGAAGGAGCATACAGGCAGGTAGTTCAAGACTTATTTTCCATAGCTGATGAGAAGAAGGGCTGATAGCTTAGGGTCAGGCTTCCCAATTCCTGCATTAAGTCTTTACTTGATAAGTTTTGAAAGGATACATAGTGAAAAATGCAGGACCTTAAATCATGTAGTTTCATTCTCCTTGTCAACCAAGGATTGTTCTTCCCTCTTATCCATGCTATCATGAAATGGTTTTGAACAAAGCTGTGTTGTTTAAGGACCTGCTATTTCTTTAAGGGTTTCTACCAGTCTGTTGTTGAAGGCTCACATTTAAAAACTGCCACCCAGCATGGAAGAATTGATCTCCATCTGGAAAATCTTTCAGGGTAATTGGTACCAGTAGACTTTTCCAAGTGTGTAATTACTGTAATAAGATTCTAGGATGTTTGCGTCTAGATGGCATCTTGTGAGGAAGAGCCTGCTAAGAGAATCTGTGTGGCAGAGGTCAGTGATAGATAATGAGTGACTTTACCTGTTTACAAAGAAAGTGTTAGTGTTTGTCAGCCACTCCCAAGTGTGAAGCCCTGGGGTGGGTCAGTCCATTGCAATGCAAAACAGTAATAAAAATTGTTAAAATGTTTGTTTTCAAAGTCAAGTGAAAGGCTGTTTATAGAATAATTTTTTTTTATCCCCATGCTTTGGTTGTTGTCTGAGACTCAGATAGTGATTAGACAATGCTTTTATGTGCATTTCAAAGGAATTATTTGGTCTTGAGAACAAAATGAGATTATTGCTATGAAGGGGCTGGTCCAAGGAGC